CTTCAAACCTTACATTAGAAACTTAAAACATATTTTTAACTTCGATTAATTACTTTTTGGGAAGTAAAAGTTCTAAAAAGCAGTGCATCGTTTTCAAGAAAATGCAACCACCAAACATTTGTTTACCTTTTTTTGTGAATATGTTAAAAACAGCTTTTTCAAACAGTCAAAATGCCATGAAGAGCTTTCATTTGGGGTATGTTCAATGGATTCCTTTGCATTTGAAACGTATGTGGAATGCATTCGAACGTCATTCATACAGAATGTGAGAAAATTGCTCATTTTTGTGCTTGAAATTTTATATGCAAGAATGAGCCATTCAATACTCATTTTCGATTTTTGACCAAAATGAGCCATTTTCGGCCAATGTAAACGCCGTATTAGAAATAGAAAGAAATACTGACATAAAACATTTACAATTAGTAAGAACGAAGTTTGACACAATAGTAGATGAAATAAATAAATATTTAAAAAACAAATCAGAACAGATTAGCGACAGTGCAATATCAAAACTTGATAAAATGGCTAATTTTGACATGTTAACAGCTTCAAAAATAATTCCTGAATTTAATGGAAATGTAAAGAGTTTATCTAACTTTACCGGTACTTTGCAATTCTACTCAGATTCGTTGAAGGATGAAGTAGAGAGAACCATTCTACTAAATTTTGTAAGATCAACTAAACTTTCTGATCGAGTTAAAAATAAATTGGTTGCAAGTGAAGAAGATGACACAATAAAAAATTTTATTAAGAAGCTAAACACAATTTACAAACCAAAAGCCAATCCCTTAATTATACAAAACAATCTTACTAGAATGCGTCAAGGCATACAAATGATTGCTCAATATGCTTTAAAAATAGAAGAACAAATAGCAATGCTTAATCAAATATACATTTCAGAGCAAGGAGATGAGAATAGAGATGTCATACTAAAGATGACAGATCAATTAGGCCTCAGTACATTCACAAATGGGTTGAATGAGAAGATAAGAAATGTGGTTATAGCAGCCAGGATATCGACATTATCTGAAGCCATACAGATTGCAACAGATGTTGAGACACAAAACAAAAGTCTGATGCAAAATGCATACAGAAATTTTAACTACAAATCAAACAACCAGGGATATAGATCAAGAAATGACAGAAGTCATGGAAACAATAACTCGACGAGGTTTCCAAACAAGTACAGCAATCAACGATGCAACTATAATAGTCAAACAAGAAATTTCAAAAATTTTCAACAAAAAAACGGGAACACCCCCGGTCACAATACCCCGGGGAACATAAACTCAAATATCAACAAGAATGTTCGAAAGTATTAAATTTTACTTCGGCAAAAAACATTTCTAACTATATAACAATAAAAACTTCAATTAGCAATAAGTTTATTACTTTACTAATAGATACGGGCGCCGAAACATCAATATTAAAGAGAGATTTATTAGAAAATAAAAATTTAAAAATAGATACTACAAAAAATTACAAATTAAATGGCATTTGTAATAGTAGAATATCTACAGAAGGATTATTAAAAACAAAATTATTTTTAGATGAGAAAACTATATCTCATGAATTCAATATCGTTAAACCCAATATAAATCTGCCAACTGACGGCATATTAGGTAGAGATTTCTTATTAAAGCATAACTGCAAGATAGATTATGAAACATGTACATTAACGATGCCTTATCAGGAAGATGAAATAATCTTACCTATAAATATAAATACAAAAAATCTGGCATATATAACACTGCCCCCTAGAGCAGAAGTAGTTCAACCTATAAAATTAGATATAAATGAAGATAGTATAATTTGTGGTAAAGAAATAATGAAAGGAGTATTTATAGCTAATTCCGTAATACCAGGAATAGGTATAAAACACATTCGAATATTAAATACAAGAGAAACACCAGTAGTCATAAAAAATGCAAAAATAGAAATAAAAAAATTAGAAGATTATAACATATTAAATTATAACAGAGCGTCCCTATACGCTAATAGATTTGATAGAATAAAGAATTTATTGAAACTCCCATGTTTAGATCAAAAAGCAGAAAATTCGATATTAAACATTTGTGAAGACTTCCAGGAAATATTTCATTTAGAAGGAGAAACTCTAACAATTAATAATTTTTATGAGCAGCATATATCAACTACAGATAAAACACCAGTTTACATAAAAAATTACAGAACTCCGAATACGCAATTACACGAAGTGAATAAACAAGTAGATAAATTACTAAAAGAAGACATAGTAGAACCATCAACAAGTCCTTATAATTCACCAATCTTATTAGTTCCAAAAAAGAATAAAGATGGAGAAGAGAAATGGAGACTAGTAATTGATTTCAGACAACTTAATAAAAAAGTAGTAGATGATAAATTTCCACTAACTCGTTTGGAAGACGTTCTAGATAAATTAGGTAAAGCGAAATATTTTTCTACACTTGATATGACTAGTAGTTTTCATCAGATTCCACTTAACAATAAATCGAAACATTTAACTGCATTTTCAACCAATACAGGTCATTTTCATTTTAAAAGATTACCTTTTGGCTTAAAAATTTCAACTAATAGTTTTCAAAGAATGCTAACCTTAGCATTAACTGGTTTGGATACGTCCGCATTTTTATATGTAGATGACATAATAATATTCGGTTCAAATTTAAAAAATCACAATGAAAATCTAATAAAAGTATTTAGTAGACTACAAGAACATAATCTTAAATTAAACCCTGAAAAATGTAATTTTTTACAACCAGAAGTTGTATATCTTGGACATTTAATAACAGCGCAAGGTGTATGCACTGATCCAAGCAAACATGAAGTGATCCGAAATTACCCGAAACCTAGAAATTCAGATGAAGTTCGAAGATTTGTTGCCATGTGCAATTATTATAGAAGGTTTATACAAGATTTTGCTGAAATAGCTAGACCTCTTAATAACTTACTAAAGAAGAATCAAATATTCTGCTGGTCGGAAGACTGTGATAAATCTTTTGAAAGTTTAAGAACAAAGTTAATTTCACCACCAATCTTAAGCTACCCAGATTTCTCGAAAAATTTTATATTAACAACAGATGCCTCTAATTATGCATTAGGAGCAGTTTTGTCACAAGGAGAAGTAGGAAATGATAAACCAATAGCTTATGCTAGTAAAACTCTAAACAAGCATGAAATAAATAAGCCTGTAATAGAGAAAGAACTTCTTGCAATTCATTGGGGAATTAATTATTTCAGACCATACTTATATGGACGAAATTTTACGGTATATACTGATCGCAGACCATTAGTTAGTCTTTTTACACACAAGAATCCATCTTCAAAACTGACGAGGATTAGGATAGATTTAATGGATTACAATTTCAACATTATATTTAAACAAGGGAAGATGAATACGAATGCAGATGCACTATCTAGGATTCAATTAGATTCAAAGCAACTAATTGAAATGATACCCAAAAATATAAATGTATTAACAAGAGCAATGAGCAAAAATATTAAAGCACATAAAGAAGAAAGTAAAAAGCAAACCTTGAATGCTAACACGGAGATTGATCACCTCCACATGTGGGAAGCAACATCAATAACAGATGTAAGATTTGTAAAGAAACTTGAATTTAAAAAGGTAAACCATTCTGCAGATGGAAAAGAAGAAAAAGCACTTGAACACAAGAATAATAAGTTCAATAGAAATAGTGCAAAATATATTAAAGGTGGAAAAGCACTTGAACATAAAAATAATAAGTTCAATAGAAATAGTGCAAAATATATTAAAGGTGGAAAAGCACTTGAACATAAAAATAATAAGTTCAATGAAAATAGTGCAATAAATATTATAGCAGCAAATAAAATAGTTGTCGAATACAACGAGAAATCATTATCAGAGATAAAATTGATTCTGAAGAAGTTATTATTCAAAATGAACAACTTAAAAATTACAAAGCTAGCGTTAGCAGAAAATGATGAAATATTAAATGAAATAAACTTGCAAGAAATGAAAGAAATATTTAATAAGCTGCAAAATGAATTAAAATTAAAAGAAAGTTTAGACATAATTATATATACACCACCGAAACGAATAGAAGATACAAAAGAAATGCTCAGATTAATAAAAGAATATCACGAATCTCTACATGGGGGACATTGTGGAATTAAGAGATGCATAAATAAATTAAAACAAAAATTTGTTTGGAAAAACATGAACAAAATGGTAAAAAATTTTGTCAACAACTGTGACACATGTGCAAGAGTTAAAATAATTAGGCACACAAAAGAAGAATACCAAATTACCGAAACACCAAACACATCATTTGATGTAATAACAATAGACACAGTAGGCCCATTAATACCATCTAACAATTATAGATATATTTTAACACTTCAATGTGAATTAACAAAATTTGTAGAAGCGATCCCTTTAGAAACGAAAGACGCTGTAAATGTTGCGAAAGCAATTGTAGAAAAATTCATACTTAAGTACGGTTGTTTTAGAAAAATGAAAACTGACAAGGGCACAGAATTCACAAATGAACTTCTAAAAAACATTTGTAAATTGTTAAAGATAGAAAAAGTAACATCAACACCATTTCACCATGAGACATTAGGAACAGTTGAAAGAAACCACAGAGTTTTGAATGACTATTTGATGACCATGAAAACAATAAACAATTGGGACGAATTACTTCCTTATTACGTGTACAGTTACAACTCGACTCCACACACAACAACAAAATACACTCCATTTGAATTAGTATATGGTAAATTATGTGCATTACCATGTGAAATTATT